ACAATATTAGTAGTATTGAGAAGTGTATCGATTGCTGAACGTGATAAAAATTCAGAATGTTTTTGATTGAGCATCTGTCATGTTTCAGCAGATATATTACCCATCTGAACTTCTTGTAATTTTTGATAGAATCTGCCATCAGATTATTGATGTTGTGGAGTCGTTAAGAATAAGGGATAGAATAAAGTTCAGGTCATTGAGCGAAATACAGGTTGACCTATAATAGGTGGTAATTGAGCAAGGTTACCTACTACAATCACATTTATTCCACCAAATGGGATAGCATTATTGTTGAGATTAGCAAAAAAATTAGATATAAAATCAAAGAGCTGTGCTGAAACCATTGAAATTTCTTTGATGATGATAGTATCAATTGTTTTTAATGATTCATTTAATTCTTTATCAATATATGCACGTGTACAAAAGTTATCATAATTTGAAATAATCTGCAATACAGAATGGATAGTTCTTCCTCCCACATTTTGGGCAGCAACACCAGTAGGAGCTAGGAGAAGATATTTAGATTATTTCTGTTTAAGAGTATTTATCAGCAGGTTTATGATATATGATTTACCCATTCCTGCAGAACCTGTAATAAAATAATATGGCCATTTGATACCATCATTTGGGCCAAGATATGAAGAGATTGTTGATAAGACATAATATTGATCTTCTGGTAGATCAAGTATAGCAGTTTCAGGTAATACGTGAGGAACATCTTGATATTTTCCAATTGTAATCTTATAATATCCTGAATTGTTATTGTGAGTTCTTGGTATAATGATTGTAGCAATCTGTCTAGTATTTCGGCAAATTGATTATTAAGATAAGTGATATGTGAGTGATGGTTATTGGTAGTTTGGATCTGTAAGGTTGTCAAGAAATCAGGAAATAATGACAAATTTTTGTCGGTATGTTTCATTAGGTCCTATTCTATAATCAGATTCATCTCTTGCTGGTATGGTAAGAAGAAGTTTCTGATAGAAGTATAATTCAGCATCTTGAAGTTTAAGAAAACAATATCTCACTATTATTTCTTTAGATTGTTTTACAACATAATTATTCAATTGATCATGAAAGATCGATCGATTAGTTAAAGGTCTTGAAGGAGAGATCAAATATCTTTCAAAATATTGAGGATAGGTAAGTGGATCAAATTCAGGAGAGATAGGTCGTGCCATATATTTGGTTATGGTATCATAATAAGGGTTTTTATCTTCTTCATGTATTAAATAGATAGGAAGCACTAGACAAGATCTTATATTAGAAGGTTCAGTAATAAGGAATTTCACAGTACTTGATGAATTACAGATTTGATGACCTAAAAGCAAAAACATCAATTCCATAGAGCTGAGTCTTCATACGATCACATGTTCTCTTAATGTGTCTCCATCTTGTATGTTAAATACATGAGAGAGTTCTCTTTTAACGATATATTTTATCATATATCAAGCGAATCCTCTATCTGTTATATATTGAATATTCATGTGAGCATCCTATAATAAGAGAATAGCAGGATGATAAGGGATTACCCATGAATCTGCATCAGTCAAATATTTGTAAATATAACGGGAGGCACCTTCTTGATAATGAATTATTTGACTGTAAGGACGTGGAAAACCTTTTTTACACGTCTGACCTTGTGAAGCAGGACCTTGACATCTATGATTGCAAGTATGTATTTGATTAGCTATCACAGAAGCATATAATTCAGGCTCATATAGAGGATCAGGTATTGTTGAGCGGATGACATTATTTGCAATCATATCTGAAATAGAATTATCAGTTCAATAACAGCTATGAGTATGTGCTGCACCCCTATTTTAAAATTCAACTCGATCAAAAAAAGTCTGTTATCTTACCAAATCCTGTAAGTTCAGATTTTTTATACAATTCCTTTTTTAAAGATTGAAATTTGTGAACAAAATAATTTGCACAATGATAAGGTCTATTTGTTAGTAAAAGATCATTGTTATCTGTATTAATGAGTATATTATGAAGATGAGTCTAACGTCCTTCAGCCATAGTCAAGGTTATGAATAATGATGGTAGACCAGATTTTTTTAGCATTGCATTAAGGTGAAGTTGTTTGTGATGAAAGTAA